CCTTGGCTTGTACTCTCTTGTTTCTGCAATCACACACACATGGTTAATTTTAGAAGACAAGTGGATCAAAAGAGACCCCACCTTGTCTTTGAGCGAATGTACATAGGTTTGCGCATCCAAGAGAAGAAAGGGTAAGAAAACAGATGAAAGTAGAGGAGTTTCGACTATGTAGCGAGACTAACAGAGCAACTAGATCAGAAAGTCGTTGACCCGGCATGGTAGCAAGACGGGCACAGAAACTAAATCGGCACAACAAAAATACTCCTAGATATCAGAACAATCATTGGCTGGCCTTACGTAATGGCTAGCTTATCGTGGCAGTAAAGCGGACCCGGTGACTAAGACTAGCAAAACAGCAATACTGTTGAACAACAAGACTACCTTGGCAATATTTGTCTTAGCTTCTCTTGGTCAAACAAGAGAGAGCAGAAAGAGAAGAGAGAAAGAGAAACATGCACAATACTTCCAAGGTCATGCATGGAAAAAGTAGAAGAGAAGAGGAACAGAGAGAGAAGAAAAGAAAAGGGAAGAAAGGAAGAAGAAGAAAAGGAGAGAGAAGGAAGAAGAAGAAAAGGAGAGAGAAGGAAGAAGAGAGGACCTTAACAGCAATGATAGAGAAGATAGGAAAAAATATGGACGGCGATGAACCTCCTTCGTCCATGACAAGAGGGTAAGAAGAGAGAAAGGACAAGAGCATCAATTGACCTCTGTCTCTCATGGTAGGGAAATCAGAGGAGAGAGAAAATATGGGCGACGATGTGCTTCCGTCGTCCATGTCAGACAAAGAAGAAAAGAGAGAAGACATGGGCAGCGACGTGCTTCCGCCGTCCATGTCAGACAAAGAAGAAGAGAGAGAAGACATGAGCGGCGATGTGATTCCGCCATCCATGTCAAACAAAGAAGAAGAGAGAGAAGACATGGGCGGCAATGTGCTTCCGTCGTCCGTGTCAAACAAAGATGAGGAGAGAAAATACATGAGCGGTGATGTGCTTCCGCTATCTATGTCAAAAAAAGAAGAAGAGAGAGACGACATGTGCGGCGACGTGCTTCAGCCATCCGTGTTAGACGAAGAAGAGGAGAGAAAAGACATGAGCGACGATGTGCATCCGCCGTCCATGTCAAACGAAGAAGAGGAGAGAAAAGACATGGGCGAAGATGTACTTTTGTTGTACATGTCAGAAGAAGAAGAAGAAAGAGAAGACATGGGTGGCGATTTTCTTCTGCTGTCTGTGTCAGACGAAGAAGAAGAGAGATAAAACAAGGTCGACGATGTGCTTCCGCCGTCTGTCTGAATAAGAAGAAGAGAGAGAGGATATGGGCAGTGATGTGCTTCCACCATCCATGTCAGAAGAAGAGGACAAGGTGACTTCAACAGAGGACAGGCCCTCCAATCGGGTTAAGGCTTGGCTCACTATTCGTGTCTCTGAAGCAAGAAAATATCATGCCAAGCTATCGGCTTCACCATGCATGAACAAAGAAAAAGGAGAAAGAGAGAAGAGATAAAGAACCAGGAAGAGAGGAAAAGTGAAGGAAAGATAAAGAGAGAAAAGGGAAAATGGATAAAGGAGATCAGAGACAAAATAGGAAATAAAGACATAGATAGAGGAGAGAGAAATAGAGAGATAGAGATGAGGAGAGAGAAAGAGAGAGATCAGAGAGAAAAAGGAGGAGAGAGAAAATTACCTTATCGAAAGGTATTGGCCCTTTTCTTCTCTCTCCTCTCTCTCTCTCCAAGATGCACCCACGAACTTAAGCAAGAATTGCAATCTTTATTGAATCAATGTGTAGATTGAATCGGGGGTGGGGCTTTTTTACAATTAAGCTTTGCATGTTTATATAGAATTGGGTCCAAACAAGGGTGGATGCCTAAAAACTACCTAAATTGATTATAATTACAATTTAACTGAATTAAAAGAAATTCTAAAATTGGGTGCAAAATGACTCTTTTGCCTTTGCCCAACAATATGTGAAATTTCAAAATAGTCCCTACTGTTGCTCTAGAACTTGCGTGATCTTCTGTAGATGATTCAAGGTTTCTCTAGTGCCCATTTGACTAAAAGATAATTATTTTCTAGTAGGGCTTGGCATGACAATTGATTTGATACCAACTTCGAGCCATGGATCATGGTTTTAAGCCATGATCATGCGACTCGAAATTTTGATGAATCTTGCAAACTTCGGATCAGTAATGTGCTTGTTTCTTGATGTTTTTCTTTGATTTCTTCGCTGAATCACACTAAGAAGGCCGTCACAATCACGTGGCAATAAATGCTTCTTGATTTCGTGTCCAGACGAAGATTTTGTCGTCTGAAGCTTTTGATTGAAATTTGGAAATCCGATGCCCAGAATTTACAACAGCTTTGTCGCCTCTGTATGTGAAATCCAACCAGTCAGCTTACGCGGGGTTAAGACAAGAGATAGACTCTAACCTTACGCACATAAGGCAATTGGTTTCGTGTCAATGGGGTATATGAGCGTTGTGATTTGGTCGCTCGAGCGAGGCGTGCTACTGCTGAGTTTTCTGCAATTATCTGCACGAATCATCAACTTCTCTCTAGTTTTTCTGCTTGCTTGGGTATCGTCACGGGTCGTGCAACAAATCAAAATGCTCGCCTTGATGAGACGAACATGCTCACCAAATTTGAGAGCGATCCAACTCAGGACGAGTGAGATAAGTTGTTGCTCGGGACTGTGCACATCAGCCTCCGTTAATGGAGATTGGTGTAGGGAGGCCGCACGGGAATAGCGTGCGGCCTACCCCCTTTTGGTCTTACCTATAACTTTGTCCTAGAATGGCTGATTAAGCCGAAACATCACCCATAGTGGTTTTCAACTATGCTGGATCCAATGGCTGTGGTCCCACAGCTGTTTGCTGAACCAAAAATAGAATTCTAGTTACGGGGTCCGTTTCAGGGTGCTAGAGGCCTTTTTTTTCGAAATTGTTTCTTTGTATGTGCTACCTTAGGCATGTTGGATTGAGACGAAACTTAGCAGGTGGCCTTTTCTAGGGCAATTCTGAGACCATCGGGAATTTCATTGCATGTTGAGGTTTTATTGACCTGCTTCCTCTTTATTCTGCATCAGGGACCAAGATGCTGAAAAATGTCTTCAAACACCTTCAAGATGAGGTATTGTGGTGCATATTGTTCACAGATGAAATATATTTGATCGATGAGACCCAAAGTGATGTCAACACAAGTTACAACTTTGGAAGTCTGCTTTAGAGTTTTAAGGTTTTAAAATTAATTGGACTACGAGAGAATATATGAAATGCGATTTTGGTAATAATAAGAGTAGAGATGAAGAAATAGTTTAGATTGACAGACAAGAAATATCAAAAAGGGCATACTATCGTGGGTCGATAATCCAAGAAAATGGAAAGATTGATGAAGACGTCGTATAGAATTAGATTTAGATGGGTGAAGCGGAGATGTACAATTGGAGTTTTATGTGAGCGTCGCATACCAATGAAGTTAAAAGGGAAGTTCTATATGTCAGCTGTAAGACTAGCTTTACTTTATGGGATAGAATGTTAGGTAGTCAAGAAACCATATGATGAGTGTATCTAAGATGAGAATATTGAGATGGATGAGTTGCAAGATAAGCAGAGATAGAATTCGAAGTGAATATATTTGAGAGAACTTAGGTGTGACTCTAATAGGCGATAAGATGAGAGAACATAGACTTTAGTGGGCTGGCCATACACAACGTAAACCCAGTTCAACATCTGTTAGGAGATGCAAATTGGTTCAAGTGGAAGGCTAAAGAAGAGCAAAGAGTAGGCCCAAAAGGACATAGTTGGAAGTAGAGAGAAAATATTTAAGTACTTATGGCCTCAGTGAGATTATGGTGTTTTATAGAACATAACGGACCAGGATTTGTATAGTTGACCCTAAATAGTTGGGAAAAGGCTTTGATGATGATGAATCAATAGACTAATTTTTTTATTTTTATTTATTATTTGTTTCTATTTTTATTTTTATTTTTATTTCTATTTTTATTTTAGTTTTAAAAAATAGACCCATGGGACTTCCCAAATTTATTGATCTTTGGAATTACTCCTAGGATAATCTGACTAGAAGGTCTGATAGCAAGTTACAAATTTAAAGTTACTCAAAAAACTGGGATATGGGAGGATATAGAGGAAGCACGTCATACTATTAGGAGGTAGAAATTTTAGGAGCAGTAAGAAAGGAAGTAAGAAAGGAAATAAGGATGGAAGGCATGCGACCTCAGAAGGGAGAACTTTATTTAGAATTAATGCTCCACAATTTAGAAAGAAAATATTCAAAAATTTAAATATAACCAAATAAGCAAATATATTGACAAACACAATTAAGGAGATAAACATGACGGGGGAGAGCTCCTAGATTACGTTAAGGCTCCCACAAGCCTCTCTTTTTTCTCTCTCTGTCTAATATTCACACCATTTTGTCATACTGATTCAACTGCAAAACACAAATAAATTTTTCTATTTCCAAAAATGACTATTTGATTCTCACCCAATTTCCATATTCTAAATCTCTACGATACCTCTGAGAAACAAAAGATAGAAATACCCTTCAACAAATTTTGAATTACATTTCCTACGAAATGATCTTGTCATGGAAGAGAACTTTAGATAGGGAAAGGGTGGCTTTGTCAATCAAATGGAAATTTCACTATTTAAATTTTTTATTCATAAAATTTGGACTACAACTCAATCTTCATTGGTGAAATTCGCAAGACATCCATGCATTATAGTTAGCATTGAAATTAGCAAGACATCCATGCATTATAGTTAGCATTGAAATTAGCAAGACATCCATGCAGTATAGTTAGCATTGCCATGAACGAAGCCTATGATCTCTCAAGATTTTGTGCTTAACTATTTTCGATTACTTTGGTAGAGTCGATTTTTTGAACACTGATTGATACTATTATCGAGGGAAGCTGTCTAGCTTCTATATTACGAAGTAGAGTGCAAATCTGGCATCCATATGGGAGCTCAATGGGAATGACTACTCATGAGTTTTGTTGCTAGGGGACGCGGAGTGCACTTGCCAGGTAGATGCCAACATAATCGATCTCCCTTTCCATCCTAGAACCAGACCTCCTTTCTCAGTAGCTAGAGTGTATCCATCGCAACCATAAACAGAAAGCATCATTCTAGCTTGGCTCATTGACTTAAGCCCTACTACTTGAAATCCTGCTCTTCCGAGCTGCCGTCGCCACTGATCGGCTCTTTCATGTCTCTCAACTCTCTTCAGGCCCTCGTAAGCAATTATGTCTCGTATTTCTTCTGCGAAATGAGACCTCTCTATCTTCATCCTTTGAGGACTCGGCCTTGGGAGGCTAGCCTCGAGGGAATCGAATATCGCTGAGTAGTAATGAAGCGACTCGAGAAACCTCCCAAGAAAGAATGGCCCGTTGTGGTTTGCTTCTTGTTCCACTAGAGTGAAAAGTGTTGGATTTAACTTCCTAATTGATTGTAGTATAGACTTGAGAGACCCTCTACTTTCCTTAACATGTTTGTGCAAATACATAATGCTGTTAACAAACAATGCCTCTCCTTCTCTTGACCCCAATGTTTCCATGTTTAGGAGAGAAGGGCTTAGAGGACCAACTATCAGTTGAAACTCAAAGGGCACTCCCAATGAGCTTGCCTCCATTGCCAAGACCTTCATGTTCTCTTCCAATTCTTTACTGTTGGGATCAACATCTACACCAGTTATGCGAAGCTTTGGGGGACCCTCAAGCCTTGATGCTAGTGTCCTTATCAAAGGGGGCCATTGTAGGGTATGTGCCATTCCTAGGTCTATTATGTGCAATGCATCTTTCCCATGTGCTGCCTGGTCTATGGCGTCATTTGCTATTGTGAACCCAAAAGCAATGTAAGGAGTAAGTTGGTAAAGTAGTCGGAATCCTTCTACTTTATCTTCCTTGCTCGGAAGTTCCAAGTCAAGGCCCAAGTTCGAGAATGACCCCCTTAATCCCACATTTTGCTGTAGGGCCAACCTTGTGGTTAGGCCCAATGCAAAGCAAAAGGAAACCCTTTGCATGGAATCACCATGTGGATTGGCTAGACCCCAAATTTGGCTCAAAATTGAGTTTGCTAGACTAGAGTCCCTACACCCAACAGCCTCAGCACATGCAAGCAACAAATGAACAAGATGCAAACCCTCATCCACACCTTGGCTCATCTCATTCATTGCATCCCCATCATGAGGAGGTATCAGTGATTCCGAGTTTGTGGGCTCAATCGATGAGATAACATCGATTTCCTCTTCTATGGAACTTCCAGGAGTCAAAAGAGCCATGAATTCCTCGATTCCATAATTTCTTGAAATCGTAACGGTCTCAGAATGGCTAGCGAAACCACATTTACTGGCCAAATTGCCATCTTCTTCATAGCACCACTCCATGTTTATGAGACCATCAACAAATTCCACTTGCTCCGCTGCCGCCAAGCTAGGGCTATTTGTGCCAGAGGAGGACCACATCTCTAGCTCATTCGACGCCTCGTCTGAATCTCCTTGTTGCTCTTGCTCTAGACGTTCAGAACAATACTTCCTAATGGCCGTGTCATGGCCGATGCTCGCATGCGAGGGAGTTTGAAGCCATTGTTCCATGGGTAATCTTGTTGAGAGTGTGATCCTTCAACCACTCGAGGAATGTGGGTGAAAAGAAAGAAGATGGATAATATATGGCTAAGATGCGTTGATCTGGAGGGTAGAAATAAGCCATGCCCTTGGTTTCCTAAGAAAATGCCTTCGGATTTGGAATCACTGTAGACTTCTTTTTATTGTGATACTTTTTGAAATGAGAAATTGGCCTCGCGTGACATGGTTTTTTTTTAAGATTACCAAGGGCCATAGCCCTGCCCTAATAACTGTCTGGTTTTTCTAAATTGTAAGAGCATACATAAGACCAATGTATTAAAAATGAGTAGCTCAGATAGGAATCATTGATCCAGATCTAGATTCGAACTATAAAGAATCAGTCTAGTTCCTTTAGAATTGCCAAGTTCTGTAAAGGAGTCTGCTGACACTATCAAGAAATCGGATAAACCGGACCCGGGTCACAAGGTTCCACATTATATCATTTTTTTATTTTTTCCTGTTAATCTTTTGTTTTCTAACCGACTCTCAAACCAATTAATCGGTCAGATTCATTGATTTACACCGTATTTCCAGATGGCCGGTTCACCCGTCCAATCCGGGTCTTAGAAAAGTGCTTATAACTTGATAATTGTATCTAGGACACCAGAGGTAGGCCTTTTAAAATGTAAAACACAAAAAGGCCTTTTAAAATTAAAAAACACACGCAAAAAAGAAATAATGAAAAGGAAAAAAGACTATGGAATTTTTATTTTGGTAGAGGGAGGAAAAAAGAATATGGAATTTTTATTTTGGTAGAGGGAAAGGGCCCCACAGATGATGCGTATGTGTGGGCCCGGACATCAAGCCCGAGGATAAGTGGAATATGAGACAAGTAGGGGCGGTCTGTTTTCAGGTTGCACCACCCTGGGGTCGGTTTCCTCAACCAAGACGGCAATTTTATAGTGGGTGGTGTTTTTGTCTTGATTTCATTCACCTTGGACGGCCAACAAATAATGAGACATAAAGGCAGGCAAGGAGGACCTAGATCCTAACTTTTAAGGGTTTTATTTTAGAATTGACTCCAACCATAGAAAGCAATTCGCTTTGATTTTAGAAGGATCGTTCTATTCTTAATGGACTCAATTTTTCTTTAAGAATGGCCCTGTCCACTAATAAAGACTGGCCTAAAATCCCGAATGATATTTTATCTTAGAGTGGACCCAAACCTAATTAGGGTTTCATTCTAGGTCTAGGGTAAACTTGGATGTTGCTGAGGGTTTTAATTTTAGAATGATACACCTTGATTAAGGTTATTTCTTTAGAAGAGCACAATAACTTATTTTACTTTTGAGTAAGGTTTTTATAAGGTTGCGATCTTGCAATATTCTACACCATCTAGTTTAGTTGATCGGTACATATTTAACATGTATTTTAAGATAATGTCAAAAAAGTAGCATGTTTATTAAGATAATTTTAGATTTGAGTAGTGATCACCATTAAATTTGGCACAGATCTCTAGAAAAATTATTACATGGGTATGGGACTTGATTTTTCTATAGATTTGTGCCAAATTTAATGGTAATCCTTTGGGGTCCTATACACATGGGTGTGAGAGGGTCTCATAGGGTCATTACTCTTTTAGATTTATACTATCTAAATAAAAGAATAATGTTTTATGCCTTTGGGGATATAATCCTACATTTGCATCTCCCAAGGCATAACACATCCATCTTTAATCCATCTTAAAGATGGATGTAAAGTAGTGTTCCTTCCAGAAGAAATAAAATCCAATGTGATAAAAAATTTCGTCAAAAAATTATCATTTTTAGTTTTAAAATTTTTTTATTTATAAAATATGAGATTGTATACTATGAGACCGTTTAGTTTTGACATAGGGAGTTCACAATCACTTTTAGCCATTAAACGTGAAATCCAATACGTAAAAGTCATCGCAACATTCGAAAATTTTTATGTTGGACTTTACGCCCAAATAATGACACATTTTCAACTACCCAATTTTAAATCTAACGGTCAATAATGATTGTGACCTCTTTGTATCAAAGTAAATGATCTCATTGTGTACATTTCCTTAATGAACTTCCAATTAGAGATTTTATATATACCTAAAAAAATCGGTCCAAATTCTATCTAAAAAATAGATCATGAAGAGATGATGCTTATCTATATAGAGGTAGGAGGCTCATAAAAACCATGTCTCTAAATAAAATGGATGGCATGTATACACTTATAATTTTCTTCATGTTATTTTTAATATTTATCTTACAACGGACAAAACCTGAGTAAGGAATTAGTTTCTTTTAAAGAGACTGCGAAACTTGATTTTAATGTAGAATAGCCCCAAAGCCTGAATAGATTATTAGTCTAGAATGGACCCATTCCTTAAGATACATTAACTGCAACTTTCCTTGATGGAAAGGGATTATGGCATCTTGCACGACCAAATTATTCATTTTGTCCCGCAAGTCAAAGTTCTAGTTGGGGAGATTTAATGGGTTCAAAAAACTCTCAAATTGTTTTTATCTAAGTTATTTATAAGTATTATGTTGTGGCCCTTTCAAGGCCTTCATACCATTGTCTTTTTATTCTAAATGTTATTGTGTGAGAGCATGGATCTTATTAGATCTAAGCGGCTTCCAGGTTTTTGCGAACGGGGAGGCAGAAATGGTGTCTGCGGAGTCACAAAACCAGGGATCATGAGGAACGAATACGCTGGGGGCATTAAGCTGCTGGCTAGTATGCCTCGTGTTTATAACCTGGGAAAATTTTTGGTTAATGCATTTAAATGTATTATGGAACTCAGAATTGTTGTTGCTTGAATATTACTGTAATAAATATTGAGAATTACCGTAAGAGTTGTGTAAGAAGGCTGTGACTTTAAGAGTATATAAACAAATTCTTTATGAGCCATCTCACATCATGTACATAAAACAATAGCATGTGAAAGCCAAATCTTTTCTAAATTCATACAATAGAAAGAGTTGCGCATCTGCTAGAGTGCTTGTCTTTGTAACTGCATCTATGATCCACTATAATTTTAGAACCCGATCATCTATTAGATTATATTTGATTGGTCGACGATGAGCACCCCGCTCAGATTGTCGATGATGGGTCCCCATAAGGTTTATCCAAGAAAATGACTTGGGGTTATAGGACTAGCCAAGAAGAGTGTACGACGCATTCAACTTTCAAAAATTAAAAAATAAGTTCGAAAATAAATTTCGGTGATAATTGAGAATTCTATGGGACTTTTCGGAGTAAGAAAATGAACTTGAAATTTTTTTTTTTAAGAAGTTCCATATAAGGAAGCAGGGCATGGGTTGACATATGTTGAGCCTAAATGGCCAATCGGCCCCATATGACTCATTCAAGTGGACCGAACATGGGACCACATGCTATTGGGCATTTGCGGCCATTAAAGGCCTTCTGAGAGCTTGTAATTAATAATTGATATAAACGAACATTGAATTCTAGTGGGAGTATGGTCAAGAGAGACGGAGATATGTAAATGTTATTTGTCGATACTAAGCCTATGCTTAACATGTTAGGCCAATCGAGTTGGAAAACCCTTAATTACATAAAACAATAGCATATTGAAAGCCAAATCTTTTCTAAATTCATCTATTAGAAAGAGTTGTGCATCTGCTAGAGTGCTTGTCTTTGTGGGTGAACCTATGATTCAGTACAAATTTAGAACCCGATCATCTATTAGATTATATTTGATGGTTCGAGGATGAGCCCCCTGCTCGGATTGTAGATGATGAGACCCCATTGGGTTTATCCATGAAAATGACATGGGGTTCTAGGACTAGCCAAGTGGAGGGTACGACTTGTTCAAGTTTCTGAAATGAAGAAATAAGTTAGAAAATAAATTTAGGTTATTATTGAGAATTCTATGGGACTTTTCAGAGAAAAAAAATGAACGTGAGAAAATTATTTTTAAGAAGTTCCAATTAAGGAAACAAGTCATGGGTTGAGATATGTGGACCGATCATGGGGCCTCATGTTGTTGGTCATTTACGGCCATTAAAGGCCTTATGAGAGCTGGTAATCAAAATTTGATGTAATCAAACAATGAACTCTAGTGGGGGAATGGTCTAAAGGGACTGAGATAGGTAAATGTTATTTATCGATACTCAGACTAGGACTAACATCCAGGGCCAATCGATTAAGAAAAGCCTTAATTACATAAAACATTAGCATATGGAAATCCAAATCTTTTCTAAATTAATTAATTAGAAAGAGTTGTACATCTGCTAGAGTGCTTGTCTTTGAAGGTGCTCCTATGATGCACTGCAATTTTAGAACCCGATCATCTATTAGATTATATTTAAGGGGTCGAGGATGAGTCCTCTGCCCATGATGGGTCTCCCTTAGGTTTATCCAAAAAAATGACTTGGGGTTCCAGGACTGGCCATAAGGAGTCTACGCCTCGTTCGAGTTTCACAAATGAAGAAAAAAGTTTGAAAATAATTTTTGGTGATTATTGAGAATTCTATGGGACTTTTCAGAGTAAAAAAATGAAGTTGAGAAAATTATTTTTAAGAAGTTCCCTATAAGGAAACAAGTCATGGGTTGATATATGTGGAGCCTAAATGGCCAATAGGCCCCACAAGACTCACGCAGCGGGACCGAACATGAGGCCACATGCTGTTGGCCATTTGCAGCCATTAAAGGCCTTACGAGAGCTTGTAATCAATATTTGATATAATCGAACAATGAACTCCAGTGGGAGTAAGGTCTAGAGGGACGGAGATAGGTAAATGTTATTTGCCGATACTCCGACTATGCTTAATATGTTAGGCCAATCGAGTTGGAAAACCCGGAATTATATAGAACAATAGCATATGGAAAGCCAAATCTTTTCTAAATTCATCCATTAGAAAGAGTTGCGCATCAGCTGGAGTGCTTGTCTTTGTGGGTGCACCTATGATGCACTTCAAATTTAGAACCCGATCATCTATTAGATTACATTTGATGGGTCGAGGATGAGCCCCCTACTCAGATTGTAG